CATATCCTATCATATCATATCATATCAATTACATATACATGTGTTGGAGGGGAATTGGAGGGGAATGGACCAAAACACCTTGCCTGAGACCATTTAGACCTGCAAATCTGTATCTTGATTGAAACTGCGGTTCTCCGTGGAGCCTTCATAGCCTTTCATAGCGCACAACCAGTGTATCTATAGTGATTTTTTTCCTGGTGCGCTGCGCTGGTGCATGGAATCCACCCATAGAGAAACCGTGAGAGCATGAAACACATGGCCCATGTGCTGCAAATGTCAGAAGTAAAAAAGAATCTTCTTTGCCTCAACATCTTTGAAGTGGTCCTATTGTAGTAACTACAAAACGCAAAAAGGGATTGTTCGGCTTCTGGACGTGCCTGCTACCGATGACGCTAAACGTGCCGTCCTCAAGTCACGCGGACGGAGCCCTGGAGCCAGCTCATCAGGGATGGACCTCAAGGGCACCTGTTGCATTAGGTGACATCATACATCGTCCGTGGGTGAAGGGCTCATCATGCCTGGATAAGCACACATGGCGAAAACACGGTCCATCATCCATCCCTGGCCGATCCCATCCAATGCACAATAGGATGATCAGCCCAACCAACCCATGTATACCGATGTCACAATGTCACATTCGACCGCTGAAGCCACCCTTCCTCAAGATAAACAAACATCTCATGCCAGCACCCGACTTCACAGGTGCTTCCTGGTGACAGGTGCCCAGAAAACATCTGTTAGGGTCTCCAAACAGCCTGGCCAGGAGGGTGCTGGTATTTTTTTCTCCATCTTTCATCTCACAACGTCACCATACCAGGCCATACCACTTGTCACATCTCGTCTCTTGTCACCAGTACTAGACTCAGCCACTGAACGGCCATAGCAATGGGGGCCAGCAAAACGAGGCTGGAATTCAAACACGAGGCAAGCTAGGAGCCTCGCTCAGGCCAAGCTCGCTCAGGCCAAGGTGCACTACGCGGTTCCTTCACCATGTTCTTGAGCTGTTCATGGACCTCCTCCACATTCCGCGCGTGCAAACCGAAGGGCTTCGGCATGGGGAGATACCTCAGATGATCGGCGGTGGAGGTGGCGGAAGATGGCACTGAAGGGTGAAGGGCGACAGCGTGGATTGACATCTGTGGACCACTTTGGGAGTATGGAGTGAACGTTTCTAGTAGCTGCTTCTTGCTCCTAGTAGTAAGGCCAGGAGCCCCTAGTAGCGTCCTTGCTCCTAGTAGCGCTGCCAGGAGCCCCTAGTAGCTTCTGGCTCCTAGTAGTAAGGCCACTAGCCCCCTATAGTAGTTTCTTGTTCTTGGTAGCGATGCCAGGAGCCCCTAGTAGCTTCTTGCAAAATTGTGGAATCTGAGAGGCTTGACTGAGCAATCTATCCACACTCGGCTGATTGTGGCGGGGACTTCTGTTTGCTGAGGCAGGTGGTGGTCGATTCTATTGTATCACCACTCATACATACAGGAATACAGGATGATATTGGTTGGTAGAAATCTGCAGTGGAAACTGTCAGAAAACGTGGGACACACACATACTCAAGCTAGATTCGTAGGACCGTAGGACCCTTCTTTTGCTGGTTTGCTTAGCAACAGCAATTGAATGAGATCTGTGACGTAGGCGAAGTCCTGCACTCCAAGGACTTATTCCTCCAAAACTGGTGGTCTTGCTGTAACATCTGGTCTCCTCTCAGACTCTCCGAAAACCCTGCGAACATGTGTTATTTTCCCAAGGGATTGTGCTAATTGCCTTGAGATTAAAGGCGCTAATTGCCTCACATCTATCACTTAGTTATGGACAAATAAGTTTGCATTGTTGAAGCACCACGCCCACATATTTTGTTCAAATTCTTGAATGTTCTTTTCCATCGATGTTTCAACACTAAAAAAAAATAGACCATATAAACCCAAATCATATTGCCAGTTGATCCATGATCACCACACACGTACTTAACAATTGGAGCTCTTGGACCGCAAGCCCAGGTTCCTCGGGTCCTCGGGTCCTCGGATCCCAGCGGCACATCGGGGTCGAAGCTCCGGGCGGCCACCTGGCCGAGGCCCAGCAGCGCACCTTGGCTCTCCGTGAAAGCATGGCGCAAGGGCGCCAGGCTAAGGTCCTCGGGAGCGGCAGGTGTGAGCAATGGCCTCCACCCTACTAGCGACGGCCTACAACCTAAGAGCGAGGAGGGCCAAGAGATTTGTTGGTTTTGTTTAAAGGGACTGAAACAAAGATTAAAGAAGTGGCGTTGCCTGGAACATTCCCTCGTCAACAGTTCAACCACGCTAGATTACAATGGTTTCTGCCAGACCTTGGGAATAAGAATCCATCCCATGTTGGTGGTGAGAATGAAACCAAGGATTTCCTTTGTGTTGCTTGCAATAATTTGCTAAGACTGCTCCACGACGAACGTTGTTTTTTTACATATGTTTTACCGTTTTCATCGACGTGCCACGCAACTGCTTTGCTACGTACGCAACAACATGGGGTGGGGGCGGGGGCAGGGTGGTAATGTACGTTGCACTTGCTCCGCAAGTGCTTTGCTGTGCAACTGACTTGCTACGTCTGGCGATGTGCTAGGTGACATATAGGCGATTCTTGCTAATGAAGATATCTGCACCTGCTCTGCAACCGGACGGGTCCAATCAATATTTGGAATGGACGTTGATTCATGTTGATCCTATTTGAGACCTTCTATGGTAGAGCATATGCTTAAGAACTTGCCGTCGCTGTTGCGATGAACAAAAACGACTCTTAGCCCTTAGCTTTCAAAGGTTTGTATATCGACCTTCCATATCCCTCTATGTATTGAAACACAAAGTCATGATGCAACGTGTGCTCCTCATTGCAGCGAAACGCACATTTTGCACTCTCCCCAGGCAGGTTGCGGTCTCAACACTAACAAATTCCCACGTACATCCCCACTGGCGTCTACGCACCGCGGACCTCTATACTTCATTCTAGAAATGCAATCGAAGATATTCGAAGTGGTTATACTTTCTTGCTGAGTGAGAGAATCTTGGTTCTATTTCACGAAGCAGTCGGCATCTACGATTGGCCATCCTTGAAGTTGTAGCTCCCTGTTTGAGAAACATGGTCAATTGCTCCTCACCATTTACCACTACAAATCCACTTGATCCCCCCGGAAAGGCCAAAACGTTCGAGATACCTACTTGAAGGGGCACAACAAAACCGAGAGGTCTATGGACTTGACAGGCGCAGGGAAGGCGACCAATTCAAACTGAAGATGTGCGGATGTTGTCAAGGTTTTGCCTGTCAACAGTAGAACCTCGACCCATCTCGACCCTATATGACCCTGTACACGAAGAAGGCTCAGCGATCGACTGGAAGTGTGTGTGTGTGTGTGTGAGCTACTATTCCATTCATCGCCATGCGTCCGTGTAGCTCCTGGCGTGCAGTTTTCTGCAACGCAAGGCATGGCGGCGCATGGCATGGGGCTTGAGAGGTTTGGTGGAGCGAAGATGCGCGTGATTTCGTGCTTGGTCATGCTTGGTCCTTGGTGAGTTCTGCGAAGGTGGATGTCTAGTTCTGCGAGAGGTGGCTCGTGGAGAAGATCTTCAAGGGCGGGGCTTTGGACACAGTAGCCTAATTTCTAGGGGTTAAGGGAAGTGTCAAGGGTGATTTTGGCACGTCTCTGGAAGAGATTCTTTGCATGAATTGCTTGAGACTTTGTCCCAGGACTCTTCGCTTCATACTTTTGAGCACATTCTTCCGAAGTATTCTTCCCTTCTGTTGAAGAACAAGTAAGTCTCTTTTTGCTTGCATTTCTTCAGCCATCTTCGGATGTTCCAGAATAATTCCGTGCAAGTAGCTGTTCACCTGCACTATTCAAACATGGAATCACTGGTTCATCTTCAGGCGTCTTCGGCACTTCCCGTGGTCCTTTTTGACAGCTTCTGTGGCTCAAGTGAAAAGACTTCGTACGGAGCCAATCGTACGGACGCGATGGGTTCCTGCAACCTGGGCCTTGTTCTTATCGACTCGTGCTGGATTCGTCCTGGGCTCCAGTCGTACCTCCAATTCGGTCTTTGAGACCCTCGCACCCACCCCTGTCCCACCGAACCGTTTCACGAAGGTGCGACTGGAGGTAGGTATAGGATGGTATAGGGGTCGACCTACACACCCAGTGTCCCATTTCGTACCGTCCAAGCCCTGGAGGCTTCACCGAACTGGATCAGATCCGATCTGCGCTGCGCACTGATGCGAAGGACGGTCCACACGAGCGAGTGGGCGAAGGACGTGGAGTGGTGTTTCGAGGTCGTTGAACAAGTTGGACACCACATTCGCAGTGTGGTTGGTAAATTTACGATCGTTCCAATTGGACACATCGGATTCGAAGACCCAAAAAAAGACCCCCACCTGTTGGCTGACAGGCTGTCAGCCAGTCAGCAAGCCGGACTCCAGCGGGTGGATCCCATGAAACGGATGAACGATCCAAAGAACTACTTCACAAGCTCCAGACGCGACTAATGGGACTGTCATAGGACTGCCGATCAAGCCAGACCCCCCAAACCCACCACCCCTGGCCGTTTCTCGGCAGTCCTAGTCCCAGACAGCTCGCGTCTGGGTGAAGAAGGTTCAGAAGGTGGACGGCGAGCTCCGGGAAGATCAACGTCGATCGTGGCAATCATCACCACCCCGAAGCATGTCCACCACCCCGAAGCATCGTCCATCGATGAGGTCAGCCGTGAATCGATTTCGTCCACAAACACAGCGTCATGGGACCGGCATAGGACTGCCGATATCGATCAGAGGTGCTTGACAGGGGTCTTCTGGGGATGGCAGTCCGAAAAGGGAGTCCCATGGAGCCAAGAGAGGTTGAACAGCCTGAAAAAGCTCATCCCATATGTACCACATCCCAGGGTCCTAGTTCTGGTCTCTCCACCTCTCTTGGAGTGTCTGGGTACACAATGTATATCCCTAAGAATCCGAGTCCGGGCTCTCCAATGGGAGGGGGTCGTACCGACTCTCCACCCCACCGTTTCACGCAGAGGGCTCCAGATTCTCAGGGAGGGCTCCAGTCGTATCTCCTCAGGTTCGGTATGACTGGACCCGACCAGGGCACCCACCCCAGTCCCAGCTTCTCAGAAGGTACTTGGAGCCCTAAGGATATACATATCTAACATATTATATATATATATAGATAGATATCACACCTTGATCTTCCCGTAGTTCTCCCGAGACCTGGGCGCCACAATGGAGCCGCGGCGCGGAAACGCTGGTGGTAACGCCCCCAAGACTTTGAGCTGGTTGATGGACCCAGGGTGAAAAACATATTGCCAACCAACGTCTATACCAGGAGACACCGTTGGTGTCTGGACCCTGCTTGTCAGGTGTGCTTTGAAATGCTCACACACCAGAATGACCACCAATTGGCACCCCTCGGAGACGCCCCTGACTCGGGTCTTCTGCTAGATGCATGTGTTCAAATTGAAGTTTCAAACAAATCTATAGAGAACAACATAGAACAACCTTACATGTGACCTTCAAATCCTTCTGAGGAAGGCAATCGATTTTTTGCTATAACATACAAAGGAAAATGCATACAGAACCCACAGGAACTGGATCTTTCAATTGGCCAGCACAGCTGCTGCACCAAGCCATAGGCCTCCTTTCATAGTCTCCAAGCCAACCAACCGACGCACGAACGTGACCCTATCCGAAGCTGTTCTATGTGTCCCTCCGCGAGCTAGCAATGTCTGTTCGTTCACCCACTATTTTCGTCCTGCAACCTGCAGGCCCAGTGCAACATTAAAAAACATCTCTACTCTGCCGATTGCGATGCTAAAATAACGCCAACCCAAAGGCCTGAACTTCCTAAATATTGGACCATGAACAAATCGCCTGAAAAAAAAAATGCGATCACTCGTCCGAGCGGTTGCCAACGAACTCTAAACGTCATCCTTGCTCAATCCTTGATTATTCTTCCAACCTTGGGTCTTGATGGGCGTTCAAAAAAACACCAAACGATAACAAACGTGTCTCCCCACATGGTGTAGGTGTCGCGTGTCTCTGCCAGCTTGCACAGCTCCTCAAAGCAAAGGCCGGTGCAGGAGAAGAAAGGCGAGCGGTGGTGAGGCACCGGGTCGTGGAGGTCCACCAGAATTGAGTCTGTGACCTGATATAACTATAACCCCCATAGGGCTCCAGTCGTACCTCCTCAAAAGGTATCTGGACCCTCTGAACCCACCAAACATCTAGAAACAAAAAACTACGAATGTAGCAAAAGGCGTCACGAACGGAACAAGAAGCTACGCACTGTGGAGGCCATGTCTAGTAGGTTAGAGGCCATTTAATGGCCTCCCCTGGGGCACCCTGGTTGACACCGGGTCACATGGACTTCTGTCAACCTTCTATGGTTTGGCTGGTTTCCTTATGACCAATTGAAATGAAACATGGAACATCGAGCAGGAAAACGACCGTTGGCTTGGACCAGGTCGACCCCGAGTGGACCGACGTCGACCGACGTCGTGGTCGAGGGTGCTGTTTCGGGCTTGGACCAGGTCCGGTGTTCCTCCCGCGTGTGACTCATCTGCAAAGTACATGACATGTCAGTCAAGTTCCCCTATAGAAGTTGGTCTCCGGTTCACAGGAACCTTCAAGCCGTACCTGCTAAGAGCTTCAAGCCGTTCCGTTGAAGGCGTGATCTTCGGACTGCACTCAAAGGCTCCCACATCTCCACATCCTCATATCCTCCTTCCTCGCTTTCGTGAAAGACCCACATCTCTTTTCTGGGAAAAAGAAGGTCTCCAAGCTTCGACCCCAAGGCCTCTGACCCTCTCTGACCCTGAGATCTTCTTCTCCTCTCTGAGGACGGTCAAAGCTTGGCTCCTTGAATCGACTGTGACCTTCCGCTCTCCGATGCACATGCATCATCTGCTCCTGGAGCTGTCGAGCGAGCTCCCACCCCGCGCGTTGACGTGGGCGGTCACAGGACGTCGGACTGACGCGACAGGCTTTCCAGGTCGGATCATGTCCATGTCGTATCACTTACGTCACGTATACACCTGTCTTACAAGGCCAGACATCCTGGCATCCTTTTGGCGCGAAAAAAAACGATCTTGAACGTCACATCTGGCCAAGACCCTTCGAACCAATCAACCAAGGAGTTGGACCTAAATTGTGAAGTATCCCAAGGATAAGAATCCCAACTCCTATGAGTCCCTAGGCCTCCAAGTACCTTCGTGTTGAAGGTGTTTGGGGTGGGTTTGGAGGGTCGAGTCATACCTTCTGAGGAGGTACGACCGGAGGTGTAGGGAGGGTGCTAAAGATCCTTGATTTGGACCTAAGATCTTTCGAACCAACTCGGAAGGATTATGACTTCAAGGAGGACCGAGTTCTTCGAGTCTCGAGGCTGCGATGGTGGCTGCGAATACGCCATGTTTCAGATGAGCTCCAACTGGCAGGTGTCACTGTAGCATGTGTGCTGCGTGTGTGAACTCGTGTGTCACTGGTTCGCATCTTCTGAAGCTCACGTATAGTACCCATACACTCCACCGGACTGGCATATATGCCGATCAATTGACCACCAAAAAAAACACCCCAACTGATCGGCATATATGGCATACATGGAGTGTGTGGGGTATAGTCATGTGCAGAGATAAGTATTTCAGACAAATCAACGACTGCTCGACGTTGGAACAGACTCCCGGATCCCAATCTGTAGCCGTTGTTCTGGAAAAAGAAATCACTCGCCTGCACCACAACTATACAAGTGGTTTTCGCCGAAAGCGCGAGACGTCTCAGGTGCCTTGCAACATTTCATGATGTTGTCCAGCTGCACTCCGAGGTGCACTGATGTCTGGCCAGCTCGAGCTGGACGGTGTTTGGAAGAAAAAGTGCAGGTGAAAGCTGGAAGGACACGTTCTTTTCTTCAAATCGTGCTCGGGCACTTAGAAGGAATGTTTTAGAAGTATAGGACGGACATAGAGGACGAGGTACTGAGTGACTCATATATTCATACTGAATTCGTTTCAGTTGCCCCAGTAATTTGCTCTGCATGGAATAGTCTGACCAGGACTTGGTGCCATCTTTGATGCCTGGCTGCATGGCCTAGACCTGCCTTTGTACACCTAAATTAAATCATACTAAATCGATCTATATCAGAATCTAAATCGATGTTCGCCTGCAAAGGAGGCCCCAATTGTGTCAATCACTTCCCCTATGGTGCCATCCCATTGTTGCCCAAAAATTATATACCCAACGAAGCGGACGTCCATTCCTCAGGATTCGTCAGGAACGCATGGTACGACGTGAACACCGTCGTACCATGCGTTCCTGACGGATGCGATGCCGACCGCTTTCAATGCTTGGCAATGGCCAGGTCTTTAAAATCACCACACGAAACATTGGACCCAGCATCCAGTCACAGACGTAGACTTCTGTATATACAAGTGGACTGTATTCTAAGCGTCTAAGCGGAATTTCCAGGATTCCTGGATCACAGGTTAGGGATTGGAGACTACTAGTCTAGGATCTAAAAACATATTTGGTAGCCATTTTGCCGGAGCCAAACATGTTTTCATGGGGATATGGCTATAGGTTTGATAGACACACATAGAGACACACACCCACCGAGACAGGAGGAGTGGGCCAATTCAGACAACTGCAAACAACCGCATCCAGTCGGTGGAGGGCCATACTGTGGTCGTCTTTGGCGGAGACACGCGACGTCAGTGGATGAACTCATCCCGAACGGCCAGTGAGCCCCAACAGATTCCAACTGCTCAAGACGAACGATGACCATGGAGACACCTCGAAGGCCCCCAAAGAGGTGGACGACCGACCCGAGGCTGCCTCCAGGGTGTGCCGCCGCATACGGTTACTCCTTTGCTCGCCCTGGGCGCCGACAGCGCGCCGCTTCAGCGTTGGGCGTTTTCACCGCCATTCCAATGTCCAGGGTCGATGACGGTTGATCACGGCGCTATGACAGTGTTTTTGGTCTTGTGGACTTGAGGACTGAAATGGTCAGACCCACCACGAAATGTTGGAAAACAAAAAAGGTCCAAAGGACTAGGGAGTCAAGTTTGGTTGGTCATCCACCACCATCTTCCATCGAGGTCCAGCGGGGTTCAAACCCAGAAGTGGCAACTTGAATCAACTCTGCCGTGCAAAGCAGCTGACAGAGGAGAACTACATGGAGTTCAGGACTTGAAACAAACATCCTCCTTCTCATCCTCATTCCCAGGATGTGATTCGAGTGTCACTTGGATCATTGGATATCACGCCATTATGCAGCGTTCTCTCACCAATGGCATGGAGTAGTATGGCACGGTTCCGGATTCTGTCGATGTCTCAAGGGCACACCAATATACAGCAATGCTTCGTTGCGGGAGGCTCACGGCTCACTGCCCAGCCCAGCGCAGCAAGGTCGCCGTCACACGGCCACCTATATCGCCGCTAGGCTTTTGGTTTTCGGACACTGAAAACTCAAACACGTGGCTGCTAAATATCGAAGCAAATGCACCGGTTTCACATGACGCATGGCCCCCATTGGCCCCCCCTCTCTGCACAAATGTGACACCCGCTGTGTCGCCTGGGTCTGAACTCGCTCGATGCGTTCCGAGAGGTGTTCCTCCTGGGATGGAGCTTGGAGCTTGGGAGATCCGCCTTTCAGGGGCTCCAAACAGTTTCCATCGACCCATCTCCGGAGGCTCCGGGCTCCTTATAGTGGGCTCCCTACGACCCATCTCCGAGAAGGAGAAGGTGGTGACGGTCCCCCTCCCTGGGCAACCACTGAACCCACCCCTGTCTCCGATTTTCACCGAACCGAGTCGCCCAGGGGATAAGACTGAATCCTGATGGGGCCGGCATGGGTCCCCCCCACGAGCGATAGAGATTTGTCCGAATACCACACAGTGAGGTATTCACTCCGCGAAACAATGATTCCAGGAAGATTGAGAGAATGGAAGATACAGGGAAGTGTATTATACTGGCAAAAAGCGGAGCGTGGTGCTGTTTATTTCTGATATGTTCTGATCTTTCTGTGCGATTCAAGCGGATATTCAAATCTTAAGAACATGATGGTTCCATTTTTAAATCAACACCTGGATCAATCAACCAGGAGTCACAAGGCGGGATGCCGAACTTGGAAGTCGAGGTTTCCTTGTCACATCCACTCACTGGATGGGACAAAAGAACACCCCGACACGTGACTCCTGGTATCTTGATGAGGTTTTCTTGGTGCGGATCTCATATATGACCTCAACCAGTGTCACCCAAAACCAGTGCCTTCCTGGCTAAGCCCCTTTGGGAGTCCAAACCTTCCACAAACCAAACATATCAACACTCCAAACACTCCTTGGGACTGGCATATTTACCTACATCGACCCCTGAAACACATACCCCAACTGATCAGTAAATATGCCAGTCCCATGGAGTGTCTGAACATATCACCAGCCTGATTTATTGTCTCCAAGCCATCTTCTCTTTGTGCTTTCGAACACTCCCAGCAACAAATCATCCGCCGCGGAAACCGCGGGTTGCTCCAGGCTGTGTAGAGCCAGGTTTGCCTTCTCCGTTTGCTTCGTGAGATAGATCTGCGTGGCCGTGAAAGGATCTCAAAGGGCAAAGGCGGCCAGAGGTGTTTGATGGGCCCCAAAATTCCGAATCACGCCCTTTTGCTTAGAGCAATATGGCTCTGAATTTCAATCATCCTAAGGAGTGCCCAGTCTGAATGGATTTGGGGGGGAAGCGAAGCCTTAATCGGATTTGCTTCAGCTCAATCCCCAAATCCGCCACAGACGCGCCTGCAGGTCTTGGATCTTCAAGCCCAGCTTATAACATTGATCCTGACCGTCGCCGACTCCAGCTCCGCTCCGACCGCCGGCCACAACCGTCTGGAGGACCGGAGGACCCCGCGCGGGAGCGAGTGAAAACACCGTGTGTGTGTGTCCACCCCTGGACAAAGCATTTCCACCGCCACCTCCTTCACCGATTTTCCACGAACTTTCACATGCAGGGGGATCAGGCTTCCAGTGACTAACCTGATCCAACGAAGCTGGGTCACTGGAAGGGAAGTGGTTGAGGACGCTCAACCATGTACCTGCAGAGTTTTCCACAAACTGTCCACCCTACTCTTTCCGCGTTTTGCTTCATGGTGGTTCACATGATACTACCCCACAAACAGGTTTCTCTCAGCCGCCGTTCGCAGACTTGCGCCGCGCCGCCCGAGCGACCGATCGTCTCTGCAGACTTGAGCAACATTTTTTGAAACACCTACAAGTTTTCGGACCTTTCACCTTGCGGTTCTTCACCATCCTTCCCATCGTGGTAATTGAGTCACTGAATACAAGTGTCAGAGTGTGTTTCGCTCAGCCGTCCCACTCGGGTGCTGAGTGTGATCCCCGTCACAGGGGCGCTGTTTTTTTGCATCGGAATTCAACAACCCCAACGTACCACTTTTCACTGGACCTTCACCGGAAGTCACGGCCACCCCCATAGAATCAACTGATGCATTGGCCGCCGGGCCCAAGCACGGCAGCTTTCTCTTCCACCGGCTTTCTGATCAGTCTTGCACGTCGTTTTCTGCATGATCTCACATGTTGTACGTTTTGATCTGTGCCGTGACCTTTTAGTCAGCAGAACTCAAGCTTGCACACTGGAGTTCTCAACTCTAATTCGAGATGCATGACCACACAGTCCACACCATTCGAAAATACACATTTCCACCCTCCAGCGCTGAAGCTGCTGCTGCCGAGCTAGTGAGGCTCTATGTCCAAAAAGGACACAACCATCACGCTTGCCACCGTTTTTTTGAAAAAGCGCCGACGACGGCGACCTGTGTGTGTCCACCCCTGGACAAAGGGTTTCCACCGCCACCTCCTTCACCGATTTTCCACGAACTTTCACACGCAGGGGGATCAGGCTTCCAGTGACTAACCTGATCCAACGAAGCTGGGTCACTGGAAGGGAAGTGGTTGAGGACGCTCAACCATGTACCTGCAGAGTTTTCCACAAGCTGTCCACCCTACTCTTTCCGCGTTTTGCTTCATGGTGGTTCACATGATACTACCCCACAAATAGGTTTCTCTCAGCCGCCGTTCGCAGACTTGCGCCGCGCCGCCCGAGCGACCGATCGTCTCTGCAGACTTGAGCAACATTTTTTGAAACACCTACAAGTTTTCGGACCTTTCACCTTGCGGTTCTTCACCATCCTTCCCATCGTGGTAATTGAGTCACTGAATACAAGTGTCAGAGTGTGTGTTATTACCCAGACACGACCTGTCTGGGACTGGCATGTCGGACTGCCGAGAAACGGCTAGGGGTGGTGGGTGCCAGGGGGGTCTGGCTTGATCGGCAGTCCTATGCCAGTCCCATGGAGTGTCTGAGTTATTATTACTAATGCTAATGTTATTAATTCTATTCTTTTGGAGGTCACTGGACTGATGCCGTGGAGACACCCGAAGGGGACAAAGGTTATAAAAGGATGGAGCACCACTTAAGCCCCCATTTGGGGCCAGAACTTGAACTCCTGTTTCAACCCCAAACGTCCCAAAAACTATCCTTGGCCAACTGGCGAAACCCTAAACCCATGCACAACCCCGGACCTGAACCAAGAGTCAAACAAAACGTCACTGTACCATGACAGTCTACTTTCTTGACTAAACACACTGATCAATGACAGTCACAACTTTAGTAACTTTAATGCCAGTGACTCACTTTCATGGGTCTACTTTCAATGGCACTAAACCACACAATGCCTGATTCCATTGAAGAAACCCTTCCTTCCACCGGGTGAGGTTCTGCCCGTCCTGCGTCTTCATGACCCGCATGCGTGCCCGCTCAGCGTCGCCCTGGGCCATGGCTTGCGATCGGAGCTCCTTGCGGATGGACGTGGCGTGTCGCCGAAAGAACCGTTGAAAGTCCATCTGCGGACGCCAACAGCGACAGTTAAGGTACCCAAAACAGAGTTGCAAACTAACCATCAACAAAGCAACGACGGCGTACCAAAACCTGGAGATGGTCTCCCCAAAAAAAACAAGAAGGAAGCGTTTCGTCCATCCCTGGGCTCCATCCCGATGCAATTTCATCAACAGTTAAACACAAACAAAACGGTTTTTCTCAACCAGGACCCTCCATAGCCCCTTAGCTAGCTGTGCTTCGGGGTGTCCATGAACCACCCAACTCCTGGGGGTTCTGGAAGTTTTTTGGTTTGGTGCCATGGACCTGAAGACCCGGTTTGGACCGGTTTGGACCGTGGTAGACGGGGGTGTTTGATGGGTTTGTGTCTGGAAATGGACCTCAAAATTTTGGTAGTTTGATGTAGTTTGGTACAATGCCATTTCACGGATATGCAAGGTGTCATTGGTCTGGATTGGATTTGTCCGCTGGATCTCTTTTGATTTGTTTGAATGGTTCAGCGTGGTTTTGTTTCAGGTATCACATATATATATATATATAAATGCGACAATAAACAAACAAAGGCGTTTGTAAACAAACGTTTCATGTCATGACAGGAGAAACTATACATTCACCTTGATGTTGACTGGTTTGATGCACAGGTATGGACCAGGCATTTTTTTCACTGTTCCTTAGTGCCTTCGTGACAAGGCATTGTGATATTGTATATATTCATTTATGGGCGCGCATACCTCTGAGTTACCTGCAGTGAGCTTTGGCGCGACACCAGCGACCTCCGCTAAGTGTCACTGACAGCGCGCCACGAGTCCTTTCATCCTGTGCACTTGATGGTCGAAAAACAACGGTTGCGAATGAATCCGCTTGGGACATTGATTGAGACATGTTTTACATTTCTTGAACGTAAATACATATGTATGTTTGTCTGTCTGTATGATTGTATGTACGTAGGTATGTATGTGTATGTTTGTAATGCGCACGTAGGATTAATCAACGGGCCCCCCCCCTTCAAGGTCAACAAGGTTTGGGATTGGAGGTTTGGGAGATCACATCCCCCTAATAAAGCTGATGACCTGATGATGGATGATGGATCATGAGAGATTGAACCATGAGAACCAAGAGAGCTCTGAGTGTATTGGCACAAGTTTGGTCAGAGATCAGATAGGATTGATCAGAGAGCCATGCCAATTGGATCACTGCATATCAGAGCATGGAGGATGAGGAATGGGAGGTGGAGGCTATTTGTGGTGAGGGTGGATCAGAATGCTATATCTCAAAGAGATGGCATGAAGCAAGGGTGGATTGGAAGATCAGTTTCACCATGGACCAAAAGATATTGAATACTCAAAAAGAAAAAAACATAGATATAAAACCAATTATATTTTTTTCTGGGGGAGCTGGGATTGATTAATAGGGGGAGGTTTCTGGTAGAGAAAAAATTATTGGGGGGATGCCAAGCTGGGATTGATTAATAGGGGGTGGTTACTTAATCCTAGGTGCGCATTATGTAACTATGTACGTACGTACGTACGTACGTACATACGTGTGTATGTATGTATGTATGTATGTATGTATGTATGTATATGTATGTATATGTATGCCTACGGAATCCAATACCTTCTTTTTTTAGGGTAGAAGAAAAATAGATATGTTTTTCTAAAAAAACATATCTATTTTTTTTGGCTATCTTAGCCCTTGAGTATACAGCATATAAAGAAGGTATTGGATTCCATCTTGAACAGCATGAAACAACTTGCTCATGACATTCAGCACAAACATGCAAACAAGAACCCACCAAGAATCGATATCTCAGCGCCCAGCCTTTTTCTAATCCAACAGTCCTGCCTTTGTGTGAGCTGTATAGGCAGCAACAAGGTATCGATCGAGTGCCCGTAAGCACACCTTTCGGATGTTGACGCGTCTGCTCAACCTGCTGGCTCTGCCGACAACATCTTCATCCATCTGGCAACCCCATAGCATGGGGTTGCAACATAGATGTGCACTTTCCCCTTTGAATTTGACATCCAACATTATGTGATGAAATATGTGAAGCTTTGGGTACAATGGAAAGCACCACTGCTTGCTAGCATTGAACATCACCTCAGCTGCTTTCGCGTAGCATCTCAAGAACTGTAGGCCTTGCTCGGAAACGTATGAAGCTTCCTGTTCTGTAAGAAATGCACCTGCTCTATACAGCACACTGAACATTGAGTTCAAGCGGTAGGTTGCAGCACGGCACTGCATCAACAAGCCTTGCGGATCAACTGGAACTTTCCCCAACAAATCAACCAGCCATTGCATGAAGTTGCATGTCAGGGCACCTTTGTGCCAGTTGCCCATAGCACCACTACTGTCACCATATGACATCAAGTATGGGCTGATCTTGCTGACATGAGCTTGCTTTTTGTGCGCCCTGCATCATCCCAAATAGTCTGATGACAGGAATACCCATTTCTCGTCAAGGTTCTGACATGGCAAGTATGGAAGGGCAACCTGAAGCACACTTGCAATCCAGCTTCGACCAAACCCAAGATGAACAACATGCCAAATGTCACTTTTGTAAAAATCAGCTGGATTCCCACGATTGTGAATCAAATGCTCAATGAAAGGCGGACACCTGACCCAGGGCAGTTTCACAGCTAGTGTCATCTGCCATTTTGGAGAAGTAGTGGAAATCTCCTCAGCCGGGAAGCCATGCGTTCCTGCCAGGCAATATGGGCACACTCCCTTGGGCGCACCTCGTTCTTCACCTTTTTTTGGCAGTGGTGTTGTAGGACCTGTAGAAGTTGCCATTCTTTGTCAAATAGGGAGCATCTCCCTTAACACCCAAGACAATGACCCTGAATCGTTCACCTCTGGTGTGATCCACATAGCCTTCATCAAAACATTTCCGGAGTGACTTCGCAGCATGTTCCATAGCACTGCTGAAAACATTGGGCTCAGCCTCGTACGCTGACTTTGGTATTGCGTTCAAAATGAACCTGGTTGTAAATGAATGTCCAGCAAAGTTTACTCGCAATACGGTAGTGTCAGATTTTTGGCCACGGACCCTTTTCTCATCATAACCACAACCAAGCGCACTTTGCACAGACGTCACCATCATTGCCCCACGTTTCAGCGTGCGACCCTCATCCCCATGAACCAACCAAGCTGCAGTTCTGGAAAAATCCACATTGGGGCTTTGAAACAAATCGAAATCAGGATCCACTTTCTCATAGTTCCGCCAAAATTCAGACCAGTTGCGGCAGGCCCCATCATAGTCATGACGATGACAACCAGCCAATGTTGGCCAAAGACCCTTGTTCACTATCCATTGAAGCCATGCTTCTGGAGAAATCCATGGAATGTCAAGTCCATTGCACCGAATTGTTCGAATTGGTATGTCCAATTTAGTCCTTTGCTTTTTTCAAAGTTCTTTGAACATCCCTTTCTGAATTGTGCACGTGGCAAGATGCCCAATCTCTCACCCCTGTTTGGGCCGCTTGCCCCACCCCCATGTCAGCAGCCACGGCTTGCGCCGTGAGGATTTGGCTCACACAACTGGCCTCGGCAAGTCAGCGTCATCAAACTAAAAGAATCAACCTCTCTACACTATAGAGTTGTAATCATCTCACACATCAATGTGAACATGTGCTTTGCCAGTAAGTTGGAAAATGCACCATCAAATCAATCCTGCACAAGACGCGCAGCCACAGCCCAAGCAAGATACAATTTTATCAGACCACCAATCACCATGCAGCGTGGCCAAACTATACGCCAAACGAATTGGGAAACATCTTTACAGCTTCGCCTAAACAAATTCAAAACTTGCATGAACAAACTAATGTGAGGGTTCTACAAAGGCATCCAGGTGAAGTGAGAAGTCTAGCTGGATTTCCCAAGGCTTCTCACCTGCATGCTGGGCCTCTTCCACGACATATAAACAATATACGTGAAATATGGTCCTGAATCAACATCTCTCAGAGAATCTCCACCACGAAGGTAATTTTTGCAGCCCTGCCAGCCTCACTGTGAAGAAGATCACAAACAAAGCAGGGATTGCAAAACAACACCATCAACCAAGTGTATAGGAAAGTTTGAAACAAACACACAAAGGCAGGAAGTTGTAGCATGGAGGTGCAACCAAGAAACTCCCAAACCGGTCAATTAGGGCAGCTTCTAGGAAAGCTGGCCCATGAGGATTTGAAGCAGCGTATACCACTAGCATCTGCTGGAAGGGATCCTTCGAGTACTTGTAGCCAAACTTAGTATTGTGCCACCTCACACATGGATCGTGAGTAATCCCAAACTTGAAGGTCATCGGTTTATTTTTTCCAGCAAGCGTTCAAACACCTCCACACAATGTCGAAGAACTGCACCAGCCGTCGCACCCGGTCTTGGAAGGCTCAAACTAAGAGAGTCATCCAATTCAATTTTTCTAAACACATCCTGCGACCGTGGCAGCATTGCAAGATCATCATCCTGCAGATAAATATCTTTGAAAATCATGGCCTCCGACACTACATGTCTACCAAGTTCATCACGACCAGAGTTGCCACCTTCAAGAGGTAAGTTTTTTGGGTTCGGATCCACTGAAAAGGGGGGTGTAGACCTCAATCGCTTCACCCGTTGGTGCTCCCACGCATAGGGCCATATTGAAGCCTCAGGTGACAGTAGCACAACCCCCCCCAGTTTTCAATGTTCAACAACTGTTGTCAATAAATACTTTGGCAAGAAGCCGGTCGATGGCAGCTCAGCAACTCAATGAGTTCATCATCAGAAGATTCCATGGCATATCACCAACACAGTTGTTTTGGTTTAACTTTGTCACCGCATGGTACTTATACAGCTTTGTCATTGTTACAATGGCTGCTGCAATTTGAGAATTTATGTTTGGGGAAGGCCCCATGCAGAGCCAACACTTTGCAGCTTGAAGTCCATGGAGTCCATGGGCACACATGGTAGTATGTGCTCAAAACAGTCAAGATGAACTGACCTCATGTATTTGGTATGTACACTTTCACTTGGCCCACGGCTCCTTCACCGATGTTGGCTGCAAATCGCTTTGCAGATTGGCCCACGTGACCTGGCTAGAAGACATGGGCAAGAGATCATACAGGGGTATGATCTCATACAGCCAATATGAAATCATACCCCAAGGGGATGCATGATTGGGTCTTCAGGCGCAGTTGAAGCTGGTGGCACAAATTTGTTTTAGAAAATTACACTAATGAAAGTCTCCACCAACTCGATTGACCAGTGGCTCAGTGAATTTCCACTCGCATTTCCCAATCGCTGATCGTGCGCTACAGTTGGCACAAGGACCCAACATCATAGGCCATCAATGGCGCATGCATTGAACATCATTGAGAAAGGTAGTTAGGCCATGGTTTCATGTGTGGGGTGGGTTACACACCCATGAGCCATAAAACAATGGCGTTAAACACAGAAGGTGTCCATTCCTGAAGCGCCATTTCAAAGGCCAATTAAGGCAACATTTGGATTGCATCTTGGTAACGCAATCCCTTCAATCATATGTGCCACTGGCTTTCCAACACGGAAAGAATTGGCACCCCCAGTGACCCCAAAGGAAGAAGTGATCACTTCTTCTCCTCCTGCTCGGTCTCCTTCTTCTTGAAGTGACGCTTGGCGCTCCTTGTGCGAGTATGTCTTAGGGCAGTCTTTAACCCAGTGTTTCCAGCATCTAGCACGCCATGTTTACAAGGACACAATGGACAAGAACCTGACGCTGCTCTGGCTTGGTGCTTTGAGGCTCCCACCGAATCTTGGCTTCATTTGAAGCAACTTTGGTGCACCTAGATGGATGGCGCGCATGTGTGCACACATATTTTGAAAGTATGAATTCTGACAGGCATGCTTTAAGCTTCATGTCGCTGAGGCACACGAAGGTCGAAGCTTTCATTACCTTTTCAGATTGAGTTGCCCACCTGAGATCGACATGTTCTGGGACTATGATTAGAAGATGGTACACTGTCCATGGTCAGTTCATTCCTCAATTTCTATACTTGAACTCTTTCTGGTAAGCCACCCCTGGTCAAAGTCATCCCGTTCACCCTGGGCCATACATTCCGCCAGCTTGTTGTACTCGGCATCCAAGGTCAAGAGGTCGGCATTCAAGGCGATGACAGCCCTGATTGCCAAGGCCATGGATGGGAAGCAATGTGACGTAAGGAAAAGCAAAAGCCCACTAGCCCAAATCTGTCAAATCATGCTTGTCATTTAACTCCCATCAGGCTGAGAAACTTCTTTGCAGTCGGGTCTTCCGGATAGTTCTTCTGCAAATCACCAATCAGCGAACGGAGCTTGGCACTTTTCTGCAAGACTGAATCCATGTATTTTGTGAACACCTCCTTGCCGCGGTTGGCCTCACAAACAGACTATGCACTGTGAGTGGATCAACGCACACCCCTCTAGTCAGGTTTACTGAACCTCAACACTTCAAGAATATCATTGTAGTTCTTTCCTGTGAATTAAGTGTGTGGAAGCGTGCCTCACTGGTTTGAGCCACTGCTGCACCTTGCAAAGCCTCCGAACGCCGTGCGTTGGCATCAACCTGGGAGATTGCCACATCGGGTAGTTCAGCTGGGCCACTCTCCTGACAGGCAAGGTGCACCTGCTACCTGGAGCATTCTATTGAATTATTGAGACTTGGCCAAGGGAGGCAGGGGTCCTGTGTCTGCTCCACATGTTGTTCACATGCGATTTTCTCTTGTTGGTGGCTCCCGGACTCACGCACTTGAACATAGTATTCATCATCTCCTCCATATTTGCAACGCCTTGGTAGCAGGCATTAGAGGGAAATTAATGGATTCAAGATAACATTGCAATCATTTTGGACGTTCAACCCAAATATGATTGTACATCCTTGTCGTTGTGATGTTGCATGGTTTGTCTCACATGAGTGTATATCGACTAGCCTCACCAGGTTGTCTTTGTCAGCTTCACAACATTTCACCGCTCCAGAGATTTTTTTCCTCAGCACACCAAAAATGCTGAGGCAAGACTTGGTGGGGTAAAAACACTTTCACCCTTGAGTGCATGAACATGTTGACATGTCGGAAGAGGTTCGCACTCCATTTCAAAATTTTGGCCATGTCCTCTTTGGAGTACCATCCACTGGACACATCACTCAGATGTTTGTCGTTCTTGGTCAGGGTCTTTTTCTTATACTTCATGAAAGCCACCTGAAGGAATGGGCCATGGATTTACAATCAAGGGATCACGGGCACCTGGACAACACACATTGTTGAAACACAAGTAGTGGTGGCAGGGAGGTGGCCTTGTCAAACCCACAGGCTTGATACTCTTTGGCCATGGCCAAGTGGTCACCATTGCGCCATTCATCATGCAACCACTGCGGCACCTGCAGCCTGCCTCCAGTCTTGACCTCGCAAAGACGCCGTAACTTTTGCTTCAGCGCATTCTCCTCCTGGTTGGCTGAGACACTCAGGACAAGTTTCCCATACAAAGTCACCAACCCACAAAGGCACAATACAATATTGCTTCTAGGGTGGCAGGTTCACAAGGAAATGAAACATGAAAGAAAGTGCATGGTTGCTTACCTGTATTGAGTAAAGGGTCCTTCTTCGCCTTTTTTGCCTGGTGCAAAAGATCATCTAAAGATTCTTCACCTGCAGTAGCATCACCTGCAGTAGCTTCACCAGAACCTGCATCAATGGATTCTAAAGGCCTTTTTCCAGGCACCGATCCCCCTTGACTCAGGAGCTGCATCGCGATGGCTGGATCCAGCTCGCCCTTCTGCAACATGGCCACAATGCGCAGGGATGCCTGGGCGAGCGGGCATGGGTAGAAGTTGATCAC